TAAAGAATTAAATTGCATTTAAGCAGCTCAAGATGGATTTCAGTGGCGGGCTTTTGTGAACAAAACTGTGACGTTCTGCTTTCCGGAAGAGGGGGAATAGTTATATAGGGCAAAATCCTGAACATAGATAACAAATATTTTTCCGGAGCGTTAGCGTGCAGCAACCAGACTAAAACTCTTCTTCAAAATCCAGAAGACCTCGCATGAAAGTTGAATTAAATACCAACAAAGTTTACCTCAGAATTTTATTCCATTTATTTTCGTCTTGAAGGCCGAACCAACCTATAGGTAGTATTTTTACTACCCCTGAATTGAAGTGAGATGAAGGGAAACTACTCATTTCTCCTCTTTTCCTTCCGCCTTTTCAAATATATAGGCCATTGGTCTGTTTCCAAGTTCAAAAAATATGTCCTCCCATCTAGCTATGGGCCGTTCGATACGGGAAAAGAAGTAGGGACCGCAGCTTGTAGGCCAAAAAAGGAATCATGAAACAGAGAACACAGTCCACGAATTTGTGCACACAGTATGGGCTTGTATTCGAAACGACAGGGAGAGGCGATCCTCGCACCTACCACTTCGTTGTCCCTGTCCATTCGTCTTATAGATTTCACCCTTAACACCAGATCTCCTGGTATTGGCTATTGGCAAAATGTGTCGCGTCATTCACACTCCTCACCCCTCACCAGGACCTCTGTTTTGTGATTCAAGGCCCGCTGTCAGGGCCTCAAATTCATTGTCGAGAGCTGCAAGCACAGAGACCCCCCGCAATTCAGCTCAGCTCTGCAGTTAGAGTTCGAGAATCTTAACATCGCCGACTGAGCAAATATTCACACATTCGTAGCCATTGTGTACAGCTACTTCAAAGAGCAAATTTCCATGTTTACGGACGAATTCTTCAGGGAATCTATGGTCCTTTTTTCAGCTTATTTTACGATCTCGTTGAATTCGACGCATATGTAAACCCATGAGCTAAGAAAACATCAGCCTGAAGGGGGCATTTCCATGTTCCTAAAACAGGCACTATCCCCTTGTTCAGGTTAAGGGTTGACATGGGAGAGCACATTATTACACATTATATTTCATATCATAAACTATAATGAGCTGGGGTTGCTTAGTCAATAGGCTAGATTCGATTCTCGGCAGAGGCAAATATTTTCTTTTTTCCACCGCTTTCAGACTGGTTTAGGGTCCCACACAGCTTCCCAGTCAGTAGGTACCGGAGCCTATATCCCGAGGGTTAAAGAGCTAGTAGCGTGAACCTGACCACATGTAGCGCTAGGGTGACCAACTTTCGGTCATGAATTTAAGGGAGATTTAGTCACGACAAATTTTGCGCATTTTTAGCCGCGCGGCGTCAGTCCAACAAACGTTCATGGAATGGATAATATTAAACAAAACAATTAATTTACATTGTATATAATATACAGGTCACAATATAGAATTTGGTAATTATTTAAAAGCACGAGGATGAACACGGCAAGAAGCAAGAACAGAAAATATTACAATCCGGAAACGGATATTCCGCTATCGATTAGTATATGCTAAACTTTCTATCGATTATTATAGGTAATTTTTCGATATTTATCGATGAGTACCTCTAAGTCTAAACTGTCTATAATAATGACAGTTTATATCGGAATGTATTCGGCGGGAATAATATACAATTTAAATTTTGCGATCTTGATTGTTAATGAAATATACGGGAGAAATAGAAGGTCAATACGGGAGCCGGGAGGATAAAAAAAAATTAGCTCTAATACGGGAGATCCCGGGAAATACGGGAGAGTTGGTCACCCTATGTAGTGCCGAGGTTAAGAATACGTGGAACTGTACTTCCACGTCTCCATATGTCTTCATGGCATTGAACGGGGATACCTTATCTCATCTACAATCATACATCTCACACTGTAGCACGCCGCAATAACGTGAATCAGGTACCTTCTTACTTGGCTTATTCTTCGACTATAAAGATGAAGACAAAGTTGTCTCTGAAACGTCATCTTCCTATGTTAATGTTGGAAGAAAGAATGTTTTGTCATTCTCTTTTGATAATTCCAAGTCTGATATCCAGACGACTAAAATGAGTTCAAAGCCAGGCAGGAAGCTTATCAAGCAGTTACTGGGGCTACTTTCCCAGAGGATTGTGGCCCTGTACGTGAATCTGACCCCCCTCCCCACATATAAAAACACATATATTCTTATAAAAATGTGTTCATATTTCAGTTTACAACGTTATGTACTTCACAGTATCGTAGACTATTTTATGAGTTCCCTGTTTGGCTATTGACCCAGATTTCTTTATAAATATAGTATATCTTGCACTGCAGACGAGCTGTGACTAAATTAGGCTAGCTTAGATTAGCTTAAACAAGCTACAATACTAGTTTCACAAAGTTTTCAACATGCAGTTTGAGTATACCTAATGTTGGATGTTAATAGAGTGCAGCAGTAGCCGGGATAGCGTAGTCGGTACTAGCTGGGCGACAGACGGGTCGCAGTTCGAATCCTGGTAAGGTCAAGAATTTTCTCTTCTCCACGTCGTCCAAACCGGTTCTAGGGTTCACCCAACCTCCTATCAAATGGGTACCGCGGGCTCTATGCCCGGGGGTAAAGCGGTAGGGGCGTGAAGCTGACCACTCACCTCCAGCTGGTGATGAGGTCAAGAAAATGAGGATCTATACGTCCACTCCCCAATATCCCTTCATGGCATAGTGCTTAATTAGGTAAGCACAGGGACAACTTTACCTTTTAAATAGAATGCAGCAGTTAATCTTATTGGGCTTCTTTCTTACTTAAAATCTAAACCGATTAGGTGAATGCAGAACAGCACAACCGGACTCAGCACTCACCAGAGGCCACTCTTTCCTTATTTCTTAGAGGCAAATTCAGTACCACTTCAGTACACTACAAAGAAAGCGCTATTGAATAAATTGTGTCGCAGTACGTAAGCATTTCTCAAGAAACAGGAATTGCCGAAACAAGAACAGAACAATATCGTCCCCCATTGACATGGCAGCGTCAGCTGTGTCACTATATTTGCGTGCTTACGGGACGAGTGTGTGACGTCACAGTTTCGAAATTAGTGTGGCGGGTTGCCTGTCGCTAAATAACAGCAAATCTTTCTGTTTATGGTTCGTGACACGTGACATGCTCCTATTCTGATTTTCAAACTCAAAGAAATGTGCATCATGCTTGAAATTTTGATTTGGAAATATTAAGTCTTAGATGAAAAGTAGGGCACGATGTAGAGCAGCTGGTTGAGGCACTACACTACAAGCCGGAAGATTGTGGGTTAGATTTCTGATTAGGTCATTAGATTTTTCAATTGAACTAATCTTTCCAGCTTCATTATGGCCCTGAGGTCTACTCAGCCCCTAACACTAATGAGTAACAGGAATCTTCGTAGGGGTAAAGCGCGGCCGGCGCGTGAGGCTGACAACCTGACCGCCATCTGTGTGCCAATTGTTTAGAAAAATGTGGGAGCCTCGACGTCTTATAACCTTATAGGCCTCCAGGGCCTGTTACAGGGATAACTTTACCTTTTTTTATTTTTTGCCTTTTAGACGAAAAATAAAAACGTTCATAATACTTATTCTCTTAATGGAAGACAATAATTATCTATGTCCGTGGTCTGCTTCTAAATGTACACAGTGTGTCCAGGTTCTGTTAGGACTGTGTTGAACACAAATACAAGACGTGCATTATTTTCAAAATTGCATTCTTTTTATTCAAAACAGTCTCCTTCTGAATCAATACATAGCTGGAATCGATTGAAAAGTTTTCGAAACAGTCACTCTACTCCTTTTGTGGAATCGCATTTAAAACTGCGGTACGTTCCCTTTGGATGTCCTGGATGGTGTCGTGACTGTCTCCTTTCATCGCCAACTTAACTTTTGGGAACAACAAGAAATCTGCTGGAGCCAAACCTGGCAAATATGGAGGATGATCAAGGACTGCGATTCCTTTTCTGGCCAAAAAATCACGCACGATCTTCGATTTGTGGGGTGGGGCATTGTCATGGAGGAGCGACCAGGAACCTTGCTCTCGATATGAGCTTCACAAATCCAACATCTATGGTAGAGTTGAAATTGTTAAACCTCTGATTACTGAAAGTAATGCTCAGGTGTGTAAACGATGGTGTCACGACCATAAAACCTGAACATCAGACAACTGGAAATGCAAATGATAAGAGTCAGATGAGTTGTCCTTGCTGTTCCCTACATCAGGAAGAGTTTACTTCTGGAGAACACTCAAGGAAGCATACGGTCCGGAGTGACTGGTTCCAACAGTGAAACATGGGGCACGTTGTATGGTGTTTTGGGCAGCAATATGAGGGCACAGTACCCTGTTGGTCCCATTATTGCCCTTCATGGCCGAATTGCTGCAGCCTGTGATCCAGATGTTATTTCTAAGCAAGAATGCAGTTTTCCAAAATGACAAAGCCCCAATTCACACAGCTGGAACTGTTCGATCATGGTTTGAAGAGCATGAAGGTGAACTCCAACATTTTCCTGGGCCAACACAATCAGCAGATTTGAACATCACTGAACCAGTCTGATCAGTTTTGGAGGCTAAAGTCTGGAACAGATTCCCATCTCCAACATCTCTAAAGCAATTTGAAGATGTTCTTCGAGAAGAATGGCATCAAATTCTGCTAGAGATTCTTCAAAACTTGTATGAGCCCATTCCAAGGATTGCAATTGTACTTAAGGCGAAAGGTGGTCCAATACCGTATTAATAAAGAAATGTGTACAGTATCTGTAGTGTTTCCATTATTCTGTCTGACCCATCTATTTATTAAGAAGAGTTCTGTCCTCTGGGATATGATGTTGCAGCAAGCATAGCAGCTATGCTAGCTTGCTGCCTGCTTAATGCTGGTTTATTCTTTAACCCTGAAGGTGGAAGTAACATGCGTCTCTGAAACATTGGTTGACTTTCAGCAGACTATACACGGCATCATATCCCAGAATACAGACAACTTTGCCTTTTTTACCTTACAGATTATACGGTTGCTGAACTGTATGATGATATGGAATGAACAGTTGAAAAATTTGGTGAATGGATGCCGTTCCAGCATTTGTCTCAAGGGACTGAAGAAATCCAAGAAAAATCTTGGTTAGTATTATGGCTAGATTCAAAACCTATGATCTCCCAAATATGAAGTAGGAGTGCAAAGTGTGGAACAGTATTTTGCTTGTAGCAATAAGAGATATTTATTAAAGGATGCATTGGGAGATGGCAGGTTGATAGCTGGTCATCAGTGTTATTTGACACAACAAGAGTGGCTGCCTCTCTGGAGTGTTGATAACATCTTTTAATACATGAAAATACAAATAACAGTGAATTATGTCAAGTAATTACTACAACACTTCCAAACATATGCACCAGAGCATCCTAAAATATCACATACCAATAAATAAACTTTACTGCTTAACATTTTTCAAAGCTTAGAATTCAATGAGAATCCCAGAGCAGTTGTGCTGAACGTGCTTTCTGTCACAGGAGAAAGCTTTTTAATGCCCTTGAAAATATACAGGAACTTGACTTTTCCAGCAACTGCAATGGAATGTTTACTTTCAACTCTCCTATGAAAGTTTAAGTTGACACTGAAATAAATTTTCATACCAGTGAATATAGAAAGTCAGCATTTGCAGAAACTATAACTTAAATTGAATTGGTTAGTTGGAAAAGGAAACATTTTCTTTTCCAACAAACCAACTCAATTACTTACTAAGAGAATTCATACAAATTACTGCACAGTTCACGAATGCAAACCAAAACAAGGCTCTTCTCCATAGCCTTCATAATATAAAAATTGTCTGAGAGCTTGTTGCAAATCATTTCGCTGCACAGGCTGAGTAGCGACTTGCTTCTTGTGTCAGCTTGGGCTGCATACATTTTGATTTGTGACACAGTCAACAAACCAGCAGGCTGTACACATTATAAACAAATGTACCGAGATTACAGCATATGCTGGCATCTCCATAGAAAGTTCACATTCATATGCTGAAGTTTTTTAGGACAAAGAGTAAACTTCCCTTAAAATATTTTCTGCCAGCTCTTCGAATGTGTTAGGGCTTGATTAAATGTTTAGCTGTATGGTTCTTCATAAATAAGAGCCACATGGGTTGAGACTGTGGAAGCATACTGACCACAAACTGCTAATTACTCAATGTTTTGTTGCAGTTCTCGCCTTGTCTTGCAATGACTGTCTGTCTTTAATTTATTTGTGATTGTATGAACAGTTTATTTTGAAATTGAAATTTACACTCACAGAAATGTAACTTGACTGTATGTTTAATAGAGCAGCAGGGGCCCAAATTCTGGTCAATCAGCATACAACATATAAGCTTCATGGTACATTAATCTGCACAAGCTAACTGGTTTGTCAGATACACCAAAGTCTGAATGAATGTGGGTCAAGCTGTCATGAGTATTGTGTGGCTCTTCCTTAGAAGCCAAGCAATTTATGGCAAGCTCTCAGATAATCTTGTATATGTGACAGCATCACAGACTTCACATCCATTGTGAATTTCACCAACTAAAAAAGGAGGTGGGAGAAAGTGTTATTACTTACATAAGGACAAAACTATTTATCTATTTAAAAATAATGTTTACAATCACAGTATCTATAAAGGAAAACTGGTAACACAATTTTACACAAATCTAAGTAATCCCATCAAAGTAAATCATGATGTAACATTAAATGCAACAGTGGAAATAATATGTAATATTTTATAGATACATATACAAGATTGTAATCACATATCCATGTTTCATCAAGCAAAGCAGTGACACTCATAATTAAATATTCAGAACTGTGTCTTTTAGATTACTATATAATTATCAATTAAAATTTAGACACGATAAATCACTGAATCAAGACTAATAAACATAATATTTACACTGAAGTTCCAAATTGACAAGAGCATGATGAAAGAGCACAGAAAATGACATTAAATTAAGACCAGCAAGAATAATAAATATGATCTACTTTCACTGGTTTGACAGGAACATAAGTGTTAAGAGCTTTGTAAAGTCCAGTGCTGTATTAATACATTTGTAAATAACATTTCCTAATGTTCTGTAGGGATTGTAATGTTTTAATTCTTTAGTACCTGAAGATGAACAAATTTTACAGATATATAACTAAACCTGAAGCACAGAACTACACTGCAATAGCCAGCATCCTGACTTGTAAGGGAAAGTTAGAGGAGTCAGTAGCCAACACAAACACCATCAATGCTCTTGTCTGTAAGAACAGTTCACTTGTCATAAATTTTAACAAAATGGAAGTAAATCAGTATTAAGGTGAGTCATCTTATGAAGGTTCTGCTTTGGAAACAGCTCTGTAAGAGGCTTCACAACCATAATGCTGTATTATTCAGTGTTACATTATCATCAAATTTTGAACTCTGTCTGGTTGATCACCAGATACCATGTAAAGCATAATGTATACAAAAATCTATGTCCACCACCATTTTGCTGCCTGATAACTATATATCATTTAATGCATAACGTAATTTAAAAGACTTAACATCATGTAATGGCATGGTGGTAAACAGCATCAAAGATGTGTGATATCAATCCATCTTTTGAATATCAATCTGATGATAAGCAAGCGTTTCCTTCTTGAAGTCCACTAGTCAGTTAAGACGTTCAAAGTTACCTGTTTTTGTACATAAAATTGACAGTTTAAACGAAGAGGTTTTATGAGAGTCAGTTATAAGAAATTAGCAATTTTATATTTCCCATTCTGACATGGTAACTTTTCTTGAATATCTGTGAAAGGGCAAACAACAATTACTTTAGCTACTACTCAAATAATTATAAACAACACAGTCAATGTGTGAAAATTTATACTTGGCACAGCCTTGTAATAACTGATTAATATCAACAGCAATATGAACAGTCATTCTCAAAGCTATAAACTTCAGGTGCATCAGCATTCAAAGCCCGTTGCGTCAGTGTAAGTGTATATTTCTGCTATTTGTTGACCAACTGCAGGTTTCTCCTACAATGTTCACTCTTCTCCAGGAAGAAACAGGATAAAATTTATATTGCAAATTACTTTGGACGTCGCAGCGATATTGCAAATAAAGGAGAAAATCCTATGTATGCTATGTAAAGGACAGAGCTGCTTATAGTCGGGGGAGAACAAGGTTGTTACCCTAGCAGTGAAGAGTAAGAATAATATAAATGGAAACTGGTTCCGAAGAAAACACGTGGGAAAACAAAATTAGGTTTCCTGCTCACATACAAACTTCTTGAGATGCAGTAGTATCCTGTCTAAACAATGGATTCTTATTTGGTGACGCAAGTCCTCCTCTTACCTTAAAATGATACCCCAACATCCAGTTTGGTTTTAACATATCAATAAGTCATACTGAATCACAGTTAAAAGATATCTGCATAAAACTTTATACATTGTAAATACAATAGTTTTATGGTGACCACAGCAACCATGTGATCTAAGCAGCATACAGGCTTGAAAAACTTGAATATCATGATGATCTCAAATCCAATTTGGGGTATGTACATATATATGCATTTTTCATGTTGTCCTGTATGGACAGGATTTGCGATAAGCTGGCCCTCCATCCAACGATCCCTATCAAATGTCTAAAATTTCATTCTAAAATGAACAGTCAGTTTGTTGAAACATTTATCATGAACAATGAACTACTAAATGTGTAGTTGGTCAACAACATACTGACAGGATTCCAAAAGAAATATTTATAAATACAAACCCCAAAAGAAAGAAAATGGTTAGGAAGATCACAGAAATGGTGGAAGGATTCCATTTTGTAAAGTGCAGAAAAGGTCTCAGTAAGGTTAATACTGGAAAGGATGAAGGTACATTTATAGAGAAATAAAAATGCCTGTAGATAAGTGTTGCTGCAGCAGTGATTGGTTACTCAGTTCATGTACATCTGAAATGTACAATTTATTGACATTTAGTACAGTGGTCTGCCTCTTTACAAGTTCCAAGTTAATTCATAAAATACTAGAAACTGCTGTTCATGAAACCAACTGCAGTATCTTCCTTATTTTTCGTTTTCTAACAGCAATATGTTGATTAGTTTCTGAAAATATATATATATTTTATTCTTTATAATCCAACTCTGATTCAGCATAACATCAGCTCCTTTATTACATGGACAAAGAGAAAATAAGTAAAGATCCATGCATAATAAAGATGTACGTTACAACCTGCCAAAATTACTGCTTCTCCTCTTCACTTCAAAATGCACACTAAAAAATGCCAAGTTCCCAACAAACAGTCTAATTATCCTATAAATATAGAAATACTCATGTGTTGCACACTGACAGCAGAAAAACTTGATCTGTTTCTTAAATGTACTGACCCCCAAAACCGAAACGTTTCTACTTTCAATATCAGTTACATTAAACTAACTTCATAGAGCTTAGCCCTTCTTGAGAAGCTGCCAGTTGTGCAGCTATTACATTATTAAACTCAAAATACAGATATTTAGAAACAACTGTTACACAAATGGCTGTCAGAACATAATGCAAACAGAAACAGTTTAACATTAAATTTACCTTCTAATACTTAATTTTGTTTATTAGAAATCAAGCGTAAGAGAAAAATCCATCTTAGGCACAATGAAAAGTAACAAATCTTTCTTTCTACAACTCACTGGACTGCACATTATATATGTATGTCAATAACACTGAAAAACCGTGATGAAACAGGTAATATTTAAATCAACTGCAGCACAATACCCATGTTTCCTCTGTTGCAACTGGTGAAAATATCAATACTAACATCACTAATTTCAGGTGTTTGCTGTCTCACGTGAATTAGTAGGGAGGATTAAACATGGATAATTGGTTGTGAACTAATACCTCCATGTCTAATCCCCATCCCTTGAACTAAAGGTGGTGCCAACAGCATGGGGATACATAGGATGCCACCAATCAAGGACTCGTACATTAACCACAGGGTCCAACACAACGGTATTACTGTCCAATGATGTAATATTAGGTTTGCCAGCTGTGTAGCACATGTGGCCTGATCCAAAGGCGAGCTGTAGCCTGTGATATCGCATTCCCTGTGACACGGTCAGTGACACAGAGCACAGTGAGAGGCCCAGCACCATCGGTATTGCAACATAGTTCAAGCATGTCACCTGCAAATTCAAAACTCTTACAGCAAACTGTAAGTTAATCTGATGTACAGTGCATGATGAAAGTGGTTAGACAGTTACTATATAAAAAATATTGAATAACTATATCCATATGCTTCTCATTGAAATTATAAGCCTTACTACTACATCATGCTGCTAACATAAATGTTCACCTAGAATATTTCTATTAATTCCCAATCTTAAGATTTATTTTCATATCATATAAAACATGGGGCATGCGGTAGTGTAGTTGGTTCAGGCATTATGCTACAAGCCGGGAGTTCACAGGTTCAATTCCCTATGAGGTCACTGAATTTTTTTTAATTTACCTAATCCTTCTAGCTGCAATATGGCCTTGGGGTCAATTCAGCCTTTAACAGAAATGAGTACCAGGAAGTTTCCTGGGGGGTAAATGGCTGTGGGTGCTTAAGGCTGACAACCTCATCACCGTCTGTGAGTCAACTGTCTAGAAGATGTGGGAGCCTCGACCTCTCACACCTTTACGAGCCTTCATGGCCTGTTACAGGGACAACTTTACCTTTATCGTACAAAACACTTCTATAGATTTTCCAAATGCTTCTGCTACAATATGCTTGGAGTAGCAGAGCATTAGCTGGGGAGTGAAGGTGGCAGGTGGACTGTGTTGTAATGGCCCAAAGTACATTAATGTTTATTCAGGTTTAATAAGGATTATTACTAATTCATTTATTGACTGTGTTGATTTTCATGTTATTCAATGAATTTTGGTATTGAAATCAAGTATCTGTGTGATATACTATACTGATTTGTGGACAATTCTGGCAACAAAAGTCTGAGCGGGTGACACTAAGGGGTTGCAACTTGTTTTGGGAAGAGGCTTGACAGGGGTAACTTTTGGGAGTAATTTACTCTCAGTATGCATGGTTTCAGTTTGCCCAAAAATTTGTACATGATTCACTTCGAAATGAGCAATAAGGCACAAGCATATGTAGTGGCCTGTCTGCTTTGGACTGAAATGACTTGGGTCAGACACATTTTTAACACTCTCCTGTTATAAATTCAACCCAATATATGTGGTCTGACAATAAAGTTCGCAAACTCATCGCAGTAAAGTGCTACATACCTCACTGCTGAATATCAGTGTGGTCGCCTTCAAAGTACTCCTCTTGGGAAGCTATGCACTGAGGCCAGCACACAGTCCACCCTTTCAAAACAATTTTGGAACTGGTTTTGTGGAATGTCCTTCAGAGCTTCTGTCATCAAAATACCTTCCTTTCAGTATTTCCTTTATCTTCAGGAGCAGAAAGAGTCACTGGGGGGCTAGATCCAGTGAATATGGAGGGTGTTCCAACACAGTTATTTGTTTACTAGCTAAAATCTCCCACACAGACAGTGCTGTTTGAGCAGGTGCATAGTTGTGATGCAAGATCCATGAGTTGTTGGCAAAACGTTTGGGTTGTTTCCATCTAACTTTTTCACTCAGCCTTTACACTACCTCCAAATAGTAAACTTGGTTAACTATATGTCTGGTTGGTATAAACACATAATGAACAATCCCTCTAATATAAAAAAAGTTAGCAACATTGTTTTGACTTTTTATTTGGACCGAGGAAACATTTTTGGTCATGGAGAATTGACAGTCTTCCATTGTAAACTTTGCCACTTCATTTCAGGGTCATATTGGTAGACCAAGTTCCATCACCTGTGATGACATGGTCCGAAATGTCATCTTACCTCTCCAAAAGGTCTTGGCAAATTTAAATTTTCTTTTCCATTGTTCTTTGGTGAGCTCCTTTGGGACCATTTTTGCACACACCTTCCTCATGTCAAGATCAGTTTAGAATTTCCTGTTTCACTGTCAATGTTCTGCTATGCTCCTGACAGTCAGTCGACGAATTCTGCAATGTTTTCTTCAGGTCTGCTCATTGGTGGCTGTCTTCATCTCTTTTTGTCAGTGACACATTCTCTTCCCTCAGAAAAAACGTGTCACCCACTTGTAAACTGCTGTTTTATCACCATAAACATCTCTCTGATTTCACTTCCACTCTTGCAAAGTTTAACAAGAAATTTAATGTTTGTTTGTTGCTTTAATTCAAGCTCCAATATTCTCGCAACAGCACCCCAAAACACACTCAGACAATAATAGACGCCACTCAGAAAGAGACTGTCATAGATCAACCACAACACAGCTGTGAAACGCTGATATGTCAACATCCTCCAACCATACTGAGGTTTCAGTCCACTGCTGCCATAGCAAACACATACTGGTGAGCTCGCGAACTTTACTGTCAGACCACGTACATTAGAGACCAAGAACCAGATGATTTAAGTTGCATGAGTGACAAAACATTATCAAGAAGTTAAAATTGGGGGTTATTAAAGCGCATTGTGTCTCCCTTTGAAAAATATTTTAGCATCCCAGACCCACCAAACTGTTTGGAAATATAAGGCGTAATTATGTAAACGTACCTTTATTGTAATGACAATGATCATTCAGCACTGATAACAGCATCAGGCTGCTGAATTACTGCTGTTATGTAACCCTGGATGACTTATCATTCTCCTAAGCTCAGCTCATTCTACCACATCATCATCATTCTCGCACTATTAGTAATTTCAGCAGTCAGCAGGAGGCTACCTGAAGTCAGTTTACTTTGTGAGGTTACCCTGTCTCTGGTGCCCAACCACACCTTTATTACCTACAAGAACCTTCCTTTTAACTGACTAGCCTAATTAATTGGTGAATTTAATTGTGTGATCACCTATATCTTTCTCTGCCACAAAGTCCACTGGGCAAGGTGGGTGGATAAAGCTATTTGTGTATATGAAAGGCTATGGTGTTTACATATGCTAGTGAGGAACTGGGGGAATGGTGCTTGGTCACCAGTACTTGGTCTGTCACGGCATTAGTCATTTTGGATTCAGCTGTCAGCCTAAGCAAGTAATTTAGATGTGCACTGTCAGAAGAGGCACATTTCTTCCTCCTGTGACGTGACAACAATGTAATCTGGTCCTGCCCCTGGTCACATTGTCATATAGCTACTAGCAGAATGCTTAGTTCTTTGTAGTTAATGGTATCATGTCAAAGCGAGGTATGACGTGCCATTCATCTGAGAAAAATGGTGTACTTGGGTAGAAGAAAATTGGTTTCTGTGTTGTGGCATAAGCTTTGAACACCTAATATATTATGGCAATAAGCTCCATAACATAAATTAACACAGCATACGCTCTAAGTGAAAAATTGCCAACCTGATTGGTTGTTAATGTTATTAATGTCCCTTCCACTTAGTTTTCATACATCCTAGTCATAAGCAAAGGCCACAGGTCTCTGATAAACACCCAACTCTATACTGTTTTATATGGATTATGTAATGTGAATGTACCTGTAAAACTTTGCAGCCTTCGTCCTGATTAGCTGAAACATCTTCCAACATTTCAAGTAGATCAGGCTTTCGATTCTTTCCTCTTGTTCCTTGTCCCAAAACTAGAGTATTCTGTTTCAACTTGAAGTAAAATAGCCACTTGCTCTTGCATCTCTGGGATGAGTAAAAATAATGTGCTATATTTAAACACCTTATAATTATTTAATATACTAAGACTCGAAGCATCAAAACTATCTGAACTGAAATCTAAATTAATGATAAATATTGATGTTGCAATTCAGTTAGGAGGGAAGTATTGTACAATATTCTGATAGAGTTTGGGATACCCATGGAACTAGTTAGGTTGATTAAAATGTATTTAAACGAAATATATAGTAAAGTCTGTATAGGTAAACACTTGTCTCATAAATATCCTATCCAGAATGGTCTAAAATAGATGCTTTATCGCCACTCCTTTTCAACTTTGTTTTAGAATATGCCATTAGGAAGGTCCAGGGAAACTAGGTGGGACTGAAAATAAACGGGACACATCAGCTGTTGGTCTACGCCGACGATGTGAATATACTGGGCGATAATGTAGATACCATAAAGAAGAACACACAAACTCTAATTGAAGCAAGTAAAGAGGTTGGTCTAGAAGTAAACACAGAGAAAACTAAGTATATGTTGCTGTCTTGTCACCAAAATGCAGGGCAAAATCATGACATAAAGATAGAAACAGATGTTTCGAAAATGTGGCACAGTTCAGATATTTGGGAATGATAACAGATCAAAAACTGATTCAGGAGGAAATTAAGAGGAGACTGAACTCGGATAATGCTTGCTACCATTCAGTCCAGAACGTTTTGTCTTCTTGCCTGCTGTTCAAAAACATAAAAATTAGAATATACAAAACTATAATTTTGCCTGTGGTTCTGTATGGGTGTGAAACTTGGTCTCTGACATTAAGGGAGAAACACAGACTGAGGGTGTTTGAGAACAGGGTGTTGAAGAGAATATATGGACCGAAGAGAGATGAAGTGACAGGAGGTCGGAGAAAATTGCATAATGAGCAGCTTCATAACTTGTACTCTTGTCCAAGTATAATTAGAATGATCAAGTTGAGGAGGATAGATGGACAGGACATGTAGCATGAATAGGGGAGGAATGTGTATAGGATATTGGTGGGAAAGCCAGAAGGAAAGAGACCACTGGGAAGACCAAGGCATAGGTGGGTGTATACTATTAAAATGGATCTTGGAGAGATAGGATGGGATGGTATGGATTGGACTGATCTGGCTCAGGATAGGGACCAGTGGAGGGTTCTTGTGAACATGGAAATGAACCTTCGGGTTCCATAAAATGCTGAGATTTTCTTGAGTAGCTGCAGAATTGGCGGCTCCTCCAGAAGGGCTCAGCTCCATGAGTAAGTAAGTAAATTGATGTTGCAAATCTGAAATGAAAACAACAAAAACAACCCAAGGACTTTCTAAATACTTTAAAATGTGAAATATATAATAATTTGATACACAGGCATGAGCAGTTGTATAAATACTTTGTATATTTAACTGGTTTCTCAATTTTGCAAACGAATTCCTAGATATCTTTGGAAATGTACACATGAAACTATTTCACTCTACCTAAATGGATATGTACGACTTTTAATACTGGCAGACTGTACATTCATGAATCAGATATAATACCAGCAAGGGCTTAACAAATCCACTTGCCTATTCATCTTGGATAAAGAGAAAATAAAGACCAAGAAACGGACTTTATGCATTAATATTCTTTAGCACCTACACTGTTTTCAGTTCTCCACAGATATCAAACAGTAAATGATACCCTTTACACAGTCTACTGGGCAGCATTTTATGTCTTACATTTATTAACTGTAACACAAGTTTTTATGAAGAACAGATACTCTTGTGGAAACCTCGAATCTCTGTAGTAACAGTACCGGTTAATAGAACACCTCTCACGACAACTCTCTGGGAGTTGAAACATGTTGGGGTATTGAGTAAATAAATATTGTAATTATGTTGTAAATTGTTGGCATTTACCAAATTATATTTAATTATAACACATTACAAAGGTATACAAACCAATGTGAAAATTTACATACTCTCTACAAACCTAGGCACATACAGGAGGTTAACATTAAAATAGATCTTGGAGAAATTGGATGTGGAGTGGATTAAACTGCTCAAAATATGGTTGAATGATTGGGCTGTTGCGAACACGGTAATTAACTTTTAGGTTTCAAAGATGGTAGGGAATTTCTTCACTCAGTGAGCGACCACTAGCTTTTCTATAGGACCCTGCTCCGTGAAAAGAGAAAGAGAGAGAGAGAGAGGGTGTGTGTGAGGTATTTGTTCTTAAACTTGTCATTATTCTTGGGCTGAGTTTGACATTACCTGGTGCCACATAAGGATACACTGTCTCTTGGTCAAGCTGTGTGGTTCGCATTCAAATGTCGTGACAGCCTTCACTTTATTCACAAAGGGAGGGTACGTGTAATGTAGAGCTCGGATCACACGCGCACGTAGTCCATATAAACGCATCATACATTCTGGCTGCAGACGTTCTGGCAAATTTGGGACTGTCTTGTAATGCCTGATAGCAAAGCAAGAGAAAAATAATTAGAAAACAATCTGAAAGTCTGTTTGCTATCAGTTAAACATAAATGCAGATTTCCACAATCAGCTGATTGAGTGCCTTCATTCATTGCAGAGATAAAAGACTCACTGTGAGCACTCTACACTAAATGATGTGATGACCCCACTTCATATAAGGCGGCATTATCCACCATCCTGCGCTAAGAGAACCTTTGGTAATGCTGATATTTGAAAAGCTTCAGTGAACCGTCTCTGGAATGTTATTTGCGAGAAGTTTACAAGTATAAATGAAGGTAAGTGAACATATTATTCACTGCCTAGGAATTAGCTATTGCTTTGATGTAACATACACAACTGTAAGTAAATAATGTCTAGATTTTAACACCAAAATTGCATGATACTGGAACAAAAAAATACTTTTAAGAATTTGAAAATGGCTGAAGGTGTACACATCATGTGGCATAGAGTAATAATAACCATGGGATGTGCACATGAATAACAGACCCATTAAGACAAACTAACAAAGGCTGCACCAGAGATCTTGAACGAGTAATGGACTGGAAAGAGATAAATGCTTAATAGCATTGCCCATGACAAGATGAACCATAAGCCTCTAAGGCCCCCCATACATGCACAGTTTGGCCTTCTAATTGACCTTACAGACAAAACTTTTACAGTTTTCCCTCTCCTTTCTTTCCCCATACATGCGCAGATAATCTGGCAGGCTCCATGCCACAGTCACGGTCTTCGGCCTATGTTGCTGACACTAAGGGCCCCCATACACGCACAGTTTGGCCTTCCAATCGACCTTACAGGCAAAACTTTCACAGTTTTTCCTCTCCCTTTCTTCCCCATACACGGCAAATAAACCGGCAGGCTCCATGCCACAGTCACGGTCTTCAGCCTATGTTGCTGACACTAAGGGCTCCCATACATGCACAGTTTGGTCTTCTGATTGACCTTACAGGCAAAACTTTCAGAGTTTTCCCTCCCCCTTTCCTTCCCAATACACGTGCAGATAAACCAGCAGGCTGCATGCCACAGTCACAGTCTTCCAGCCTATGTTGCTGAGTCACACACATCATGTGCTACGGCCCTTCAGGTAGAACTGACAGACTGACGGGTTTCCTACAGGCCAACAGTCCAAACGATTGGCTGACCAGCCGCACCACACACATCAGTTTTGCTTTTCAGCCTTCAACTGTGCAGACCGAACGGGAGGCCAAACTAAGCAATGACTCATTGCAGCTTTGGCCTGTGAAGACATAGGCACGGAAGTCATACAATTTTAATTATCACCCAGAAGAAACAGAGACACAGGTGCAAGAAACTGTATGTGAGTTAGCCCTTCATACATATGCCAACTGCAAGGCCACACATTTTCCCCAGCGATGAATTTGCTGCTGGATACCTTGATCATAGGTCTCATTTTGACTATTTAGGAAGTCATCCACTGCAGAAATGACATCATCATCATCATCTTGGAATTGTTTACCATTAAGTGGCTTCTTTAGCTGTGGAAAGAGGAAGAAGTTGCTTGGTGTCAGGTCTGGTGAATATGGTGGATGGGGGAGAATTTCATATCCAAAACTGGCAGCAAGTGTCATCATAGCATGAGCCGGTGCGTTGTCGTGAAGAAGTCGCACACCTTTTCCCAGCATTCTGCGTCGCTTTTTCTTGATTTCCTCCTGTAATTTTCTCAGAAGGTTCTGGTAGTACTTGCCAGTGATGGTGACGCCCTTTTGCGCATAGTTGGTCATGATGACACACCGCCGATCCTAAAACACACTCAACATCACGTTTCCTGACAAGAGCTGGGATCTGGCCTTCTTTGGTGGTGGCGACTCTGCATGTTTCCACTTTTCGCTCATTTCCTTTGTTTCAGGGCCATAATGATAGACCCAACAACATGTATCCATTGTGATCAGGCCACCAAAAAATTGCACCTTTTCATTGTTGACACAACTGTAAAAGATTCTTTGCTGCATCCATCCACTGGTGTCAACAATTGTGGCACCCAACATGCATTGACCTTTGTTATGTGTAACTCGTCATGGATGATGTTGAAAACCGACCCATGGCTAATGTGGACCTCATGAACAATACCTTCGATAGTTATGTGCCTATCGGATAGGATTAAAGCTTCCATCTGAGCCACAATTCCTGGTTCCTCAGCGAGAGATGGTTTTCCACTTCGGGGTACATCTCTGAGGTTTCTCTGTCCACAATGAAAGTGCCCCTTCAACCTGACCACTGTGTCATATGATGGTACACCTCCCTGATACACAGTGGTTATCTGGGCATGGATCTCCCTGGCAGACTTCCCTTGCAAATGTAGGAACCGTATCACAGTGTGAACCTCTACTTTCTCAACCGACGTTGCCATTTTGCTTTTGTCTCTTTCAGTGACTCCCTCTGTCCTCTTGGTGCAGGAAAATTTGATTGTTCAGCAAGCTCAGGAAATGGGCTATCTCCTATATAGAATGATATTTTGGAATTATGATTTTCTCATGGTGATAATTAAAATAATATGACTTCCCATTGTGTATTAATGACCTTCAAGCATAATGCGAGCAGAGACAAAGTTTAGAAAAATACTAAGGTAGTAATAAGAAAGAGCATTAGAACCAGAAATATTATGGAAAAAATGACAGGAGACAAACCAAGCAGGTAGATGTAGCAGCGCTTGTATCCAAATCTGAGCAAGAGTATCAGCTACATCACTGAGGCATATCATGGATTTCCTGTCCTTCCAGGTAAATGCTTAAATACTTAAAATACCTAAAAACAGCCACGACCATTTTCTTATGAATGCTAACCTGATCACTACCAAGTACCTATCTAAGTAGTTTATATGGAAATCTGTCAGTACCTTTTGTACATATAAAACCAAAATTTTGCTGTAGTGACAACATGTAAAGCACTCTTGCATATGCGAGCAAATACTGACACATCCTCAGGAAGAATGTGTTCAGATATAAGGAACCAAATGTCTAGAGGATACTCCACTCCACCACCATCACCATCACCTTCACTTGCAGTCTTCTTACGACGGCGTGGATTCCTCTTCACAATCACAGCTATAACATCAGCAAGCAATGATTAACTCACAACATGTCTCACGGGAGGTATTTTTCAATGAGATCATATAACATGCTCCATAAATAATTAAATTAACCAATTTGTGTAAATTTTAATTACTTCTACTGCAAAGCAAATTACGGTGTCAGGTATGGATGGCTGAAAAACATATTTTAGTTCATGCTTATTTATCTGGACTTTGCAGTTTACTAGTATTGTCAGTATGTTATGGGGTTTTATTATTATTATTATTATTATTATTATTAGAGGGGGTAGGTTGCCCCATGCACTTAGACCAGTTATTGGTCCATTGCGCGTGCTATCAGCCCCATTCAACCAACGAGGTCGGCCGCTGGTACCTGATATTTCCCCCATCTACCAGAGGCATTGGAAACTACTTGGGCGGGAAATTGTTGCTAATTTTGCTCAGAGGTCTCCTAGAGACATGAGGATCTTTTACGTGCCGTAAATCTACGACACGGGACCCACAGCTTAAAGTCCCTCCCAGAGGACATGTTATGGGGTTACTCGAGACATCAGCTATGACCAGACACTGCAATCAAAGCAAGTCTATTGTAACACTCTTCCATTCACCACTCAATTTTAGTTTAACATTATACATTATTATGTCAAACTAAAACTGAGTGGTGAATGGAAGTGTTGCAATATTGACGGATGATAAATAATGGACATTAAGTCGAACAATTGCAATGGGATGCTGAAATACAGAATCAAGTCTATTGTGTTAGGTTTGAGGTTCTCACAGAGTTGGCCATGAAGGGGTACCAGCTGCTCCGCCACTTACTTCCTTGGTCGACTCTCTGACCCTCAAGATGGGAGCAGTATATTGCTCTGAGAGGCTTAAAACTGCAATTGGACCACACAGCGATACATCCCAAAAGCAGTACTCCTAAATTTCTTTACGTTCAACTGTAAAAGTCTGTGGGGAGCTTTCAGAATATGGAATGTAAAATGCAATAAAAAACTTCTATAGATGTAACTAGCACTGGATGATTATTGACATAATACATTCTTTGCTACTTAAAATGTACATTATGTAATATAGTTTACATACTGAAGGAGACAAGAAGAATATTTCATTTGCTGTTCTGAATATAATTTATTATTCCATGGTATTCTTATCGGCTAAATTCATCTTCATAAAGCTTCGGTACATCTCCTGAAAAGATGGTAGCCTCATGTTGTTGTGTAGTCTTTCTATGACCAAACACTGCATTTTATTTACCACTATACACCAAACGTGGTCTAAAAATATATTAATACTGCAACAGGAGGGACTTGCTATCATTTCAGTGTAGCTGCAAAGGAAGGCAGGGTATCAATAGATTTGAAGGTAAAAGTAAAGGTATCCCGTAGAGGCCCATAGGGTTGTGAGATGTTGAGGTTCCCACATTTTCTAGAAAATTAGCTCATAGGTGGCGGCATGGTTGTTAGCCCTATGTGCCAGCCACCCTTTATCTCCAAGAATATTCCTGGTACTCATTTCTGTTAGAGGCTGAGTTTACCCCAGGGCCATAGTGTGGCTGGAAAGATTAGGTCAATTGAAAAAAATCCAATGACCTAATCGGGACTTGAACCTGTGACCTTCTGGCTTGTAGCATAGTGACTCAACCAACCATGCTACCATGTGCCCCCACAGACTGAAGGTTTCAAGATTAATTATGAAGCTAGTAACGTTGCACATGGCCTGCTCAAGAGCAACATGGCCTGTTTCCTTATCAAGGAAAGGGTCCAAATCTCCTTCACCAAAGGATAATTGTCTGGTGATAATGAAAATGGAATGATTGGGAGCAAGCAAATATAGTAATACAATGTTCTATTATTATCTCACAAATTCTGTGTCTTCACAGCACAAGATATTTACAATGACTGCAGAACCTGCATTTCTTCCAATTTACCGTATTTACGCATGTATAGGCCGCACATTTTTTGCCAAAAATTCAAGAGGAAAACTGGGGTGCGGCTTATATTCGAAATCACACTTCATTTAAAAAAAATTATATTCATAATTAGTTATACAGGGTGTTCTACTCCTGAAATAATATTCCAAGAAAATTATTTTTTCTATAATTTCTGTCTGAAAATTGTGCTGCGGCCTATACATGCGTAAATACAGTAAGTGGAATTATTTATATAGTTTATTCCTATGAAATTATGTTGTCCAAATTAGAACATAGAAGTCCAATCTTTCCCATTTATTTCCAGATCAGCATGTCATAGTTCAGCGATTAGCATTCTTGTTTAATGTTAAGATCATGCATTCAAAACTCAGCCTAGTGACCAGCAATCCTGAGTGAGATTTCTGTGGAAAATAAAGTGGCATACTATCATCAAGAAACTGGCTAAACTCTACTCCACAATTAAAATTAATTTTGACAGAACCTGAATAACACAATTTTTCTTACCTCTTTCATCATCCTCGCCATCCTCCTCAACAAATTCAAAATCTCCTTCATAATCTTCTAATTTCTCATACCAAGCCCTGTTATCTGTTTCAGTAGTTAGTTGTTTTACTGGAAAATAAAAATTAGATATTGACACCACAGACAGTTTTTGTCTTTTCAGCTCTCAATATCCAGTGGGAGTCAAGAAGGGAAGTGCTGTTACAGTAAATGTATGAACATTTTTTAAAGATTTCAAACAGTAAAGATAATAAACAATTAAAAATGACACTACATAAATATCCTGACAGTCACAAATTGGTTGTAAAAGTGCAGTAAGTTTTAGTAATGAAAATACTGCCACTCTAAGACAATGCTGCAAGATAAAACATCAGTATTATAAATGTAAGTGTTAAAAAATGTAAAATCTCTGAGCCCTTTGAAATTTAGACCTAAAATAGACATCCAAGAATTTGATTTGATTCTGAGGCATTCCTTTCACATACTATAAAGATCCTTGTGAAGAGATTATGATTGTCTGTCCATGACCTGTAATATGAGAACTGTAGGTATGCAAATTTTAACGGAATTTTATACTGAAAAGTCACCTTAAAATATAAACTTAATATGATAGTGTCAGCCTGTTGTAGCCAGTCAGAGCTGTGCCTTCATTTGAAGCACGGAATGAAGTTTCATGTTAATTTCAATCAGTATTCACAAAATGCCTATCTTATGCCTCTGAGACCTGGCCAATGTTAAGTATATTTGAAAGGAGGATCTTGAGATATGTCTTTGGACCAGTGGAAGAAAATGGAATATAGAGGAACAGGTATAACCATGAGCTATACAAACTATTTAATGATCCAGACATTATACAATTTATAATGGTGAAAAGGCTTGAATGGGCTGGAAACATAATACGTGCCTGCGAGAATAGAACAATTAAGAAAATATTTAATACTAAACCAGAAGGAAATAGGAGAGTGGGAAGACCAAGATTAAGATGGGAAGAATGTGTGTGGCAGGACATAAGAATTTTGCGTGTAAAGAACTGCAGGAATGTAGCATCGAATGGAGAAGAATGGCGAGCAATCCTGAGGAAAGCCAGGGCTCACAAAGGGCGGTCGTGCCAGTGATGATGATTCACAAAATTCGTCTGGTCACAGTAGCTGCGTGGTCTAAGGCATGAATGTTTGATGTGTGTTTGTGTTACCCTGTGTTTAGGTAATGGCCTTGTGATGGACTGATCAGTTGCCCAAGGAGTCCTACTGGCTGTGAAAAAATGATTACGGAGCTGAATAATAGGCCTGGGCCCTGAATTGGCCAGAAGAGCCATTGAAAAAAAAATCACAGACTGCAACATGATGAATACTTTACACTATCTACACATCTTAATGCAATAAGCTGACATCCGAGAGTTTTGATAATATGCATCTTTCTACAAACTAGTGACTTGAATTCACAAGTGGCCCATGTTCCATTTTGGGATACTTCTTTTTATAGATGCATTAACTGTGATACTCGAGGCACAATAGATCACTGTGGTTGCAGTGCAAGGGCTAAGAAGGCCCACCCCTTATACATTCATTCAACTGTGATACTACATATGTCACTGGCTTTGATATTAATCTGTGGCAGATGCAATCCTACAGTTGCAAAGTTAGTCACTATCTACTTAAACATTCACTTTTCAAGAATGAAAAACTACAAGGTGTAAACTTTAATGACATTTACTGACTTCCCACAGGTGTGGCCTGGATTCAATCCATGGCCAGGTTATGTACGATGTGGAGTGGACAAAGTAGCACTGCAGCAGGTTTTCTCTATGTAATTCAGTTTCTCCTGACAATTCTTATCCCACTAACTCCTCCATATTCATTATACATCCCATTATCGATACTAAGCAGTCTCAATAATGACAGCATCATTAAATAGAAAACTTAAAAAATTTAATGGAATTTATATTTAATGTTATTTATTAATTTATTGTATGATGGGATATTTTTATATTTTCTTTACTGATGAAAACTGATTTAAGGAAGATCAGTCAGCATAGTGGCTACAGGCCGTGCCATAACTCAGGTGGTTAGTCACTTGCTTCCCACCCTGTCAGCCTGAGTCAGGTCATGTGGAATTTGTGGTGGACAAAGTGGCACTTGCGCAGGTTTTCTCCCAGTACTTCGGTCTCCCCTCCCAAACATCACTCCACCAACTGCTCTACACTCATCACCTATCCTCTGGGGCTGGTAGAATAGGCCAGTAGTGGCTGCAGTAGAAGGGGCTTAGTCCCACCCCACTAAGAATAGTGACTACAGGTTAGATGATGAGGGCTTTATCTTTGGTGGGGGCATGAATTTTTCTCCTATCAGAATGTCTGAAGTGCATCCAGCTTCCTATTCAAACAATGATGTGGACTCTTTCCCCAGGAATCAAGCAGCCAGAGGATCAAATTGTGTTATTTTGCAATCCTTCTACTACCATAGACAATACAGCATCAAATTGTAGGATGACTGATGAATTGGAGAGGATTTGGATAAAAGCAGTTATGTCCAAACTGGGGAGCTATCCTGACATTTGCATGGAGGGACTGAGGGAAACCATGAAAACTTCAGTCTGGATAGCCTATGTCCCAGCTGAGATCTGAACTGAGTCAAGAGCATTACTGATGTGTTCAATGCTGGCACATGAAGCTGACCACTTCCTTCATTCTATTGCCACTGTATGGAACTACTCAAATACCCTGATACACGTTCATAGTGTGGCATACATTCCACTCTTACAGTGGTGAATCCACATGCTCAGGTAGGCTGATAATAGCAATATGTTGATACCAATTCGTATTCGTATTCCGTATTGAGGGGGTGGGTTTCCCCATGCACTTAGACCGGTTAGTGGTCCATTGTGTGTCCCCCTTTAATTCCTACTGTCTCCATACCCTACCGGTACTGGTGCTTACTATCAGCCCCTTTCTGCCAGCAAGGTTCCAACCTCCTCTGGCAGTGGTATCTAATAGTTAGTCCCTTTCTGTCAGAGAGGTCCCCCCTCCTCTGGCAGTGGTACCTAATACTTCCCCCATCTACCGGAGGAATTGGAAACTACTTGGGCGGGAAATGTTGCCTAATTTTGCTCAGAGGTCTCCTAGAGACATGAGGTTCTTTTACGTGCCGTAAATGTACGACACGGGACCCACGGCTTAAAGTCCCTCCCGGAGGACTTGTTCCCTGAATTTTTCCGCCCTTAAACATTCCATGACCTCCGCCGGGTTTTTGAACCTGCGTACTACAAGTCATGAGGTGGGAACGTTACCTCTAGACTATGGAGGCTGCTATGTCGATACCAATACCATTACACTAGGGTCACGATAGTTCAGTTGGTACAGCAGTGGGCTATGGGCTGGACAGCCTGGGATTGATTCCCTGCAGTGAAGAGTAACTACCATGCAATCCTGTACTATGAAAAAAAATATTACTAGTCCCTGTGCGTACAATTGTCCTTCTAAGTCACAGTTTTCAATTGATCTGTGATAAGTATTAACTGATTCTTATTTTGTTGAAACACTTCTCTAATTTATGTTCTGTAAAACTACCCAAATAAAATGTCATGTTTGCTGTTTGGCAGACTTACAATGTTCAAGGCACTTCCTTTGAATGGCATGCTTGGAAATTCAATTTGAGATATATGATAGTTCAGATCCTTCCAGTGAACTTTCCATGAAGTCAGCAATTTCATTCTACTATATTTCAGAAAAGTAACCACTGTGGCATGGATCTTAGAGAGATAGGATGGGATGATACGGACTGGATTGATCTGGCTCAGGATAGGGACCAGTGGAGGGCTCTTGTGAACACAATAATGAACCTTTCGGTTCCATAAAATGCTGGGAAATTCTTGAGTAGCTGCAGATTTGGCTTCTCCTAAAGAAGGGTTCAGCTCCATAAGTGTGTAGGTAAGTATTAAGTATATTACCTGTCACCCATACCTGCTGCACTGCTTTATGTTCTGTCAGTTTTTAATGGAGATGAAGGCAACCTGAGGCTATTTATAACTTTGTTTGTTATTACTCAAGTGCTTTAAGTGTTATCTTTATTTTTTGCATCCTACTGTGTATCTTGCATTAAAGGTATTTTTAGGAGCCATCAACACAATTCATTGCTTATAAAGCTCAGTTTTATTTCCTGTCCAAAAATTACTGAAGCTACATGACTTTAATCTCCCATCTATAACATATTCCATCTATGAATATTATTGCTCTTAGAGACAAAAATTACATGTAAAAAAATGGATCTATCGATTTTAACTGATAATTTAAAGACCACCTGGTGATAATCTCTGCAAATCTAAACACGTACTGTGTATACATGGCCGATTTGGCCCAAACATGTAGTGACAATGAAGAGAAAAAGATGAGAGAATATTAACTGACATTGCACAGCGAGGGGGAAAAACGTGGAATGCAAATTCAAACCTTAATATCTGTTTTATAATTAATTAATTGTTGTGCTGATGGCTACTAAAATATCTTTAAGTGCTGCTTCACTAACATGTCAAATATTGTTCCTACTAACCTAACAGCCACCACTATGAGAACATCAAACCAAAACAATTTAACAGTGGTTTAAAGATAACAGAATGTTTGTTATTTTCCAGGTAATTCAGAAACTGCAGCAGCTGACAGCAATCTCAAACACCAACAGTTTTCTGTGTAAAGAAGGTATTAATGGCCCTCCTTATCACCAATGATGGAATGTTTGAGTTCTCCCACTACAAACATTAGACTTCAGGGAAACCTGTGACTTCCTGTATTTACTCAAAAGATGGAATGCATTTTACAAAATTAATCTAAATATTGTAGTATAAAAAGTTCTAAAATAATCAACTGCAGACTTAAATTCAATTACATACATAATAATATGGAATTAAATATCAGGTACTGTAAAACAATTTTGCTACAGCTTCAACATCTTCAATAAAAATTTTACTTCTGATATATCATGTTGATTCTACTCTACTCTTAAAAGGTTCTGACTGTCACTTTAATCATTCACGCTTTTAAGTATTAAGATCTCAGCATTAATTGATGATAAATCTAATATACCTTCACGAACTACACTGTTAGATGCAGCCTTCTTCAGTCGTCCCTTCCCCTTGGAGATGGATGAGTTTGCATAATCATTCAAAGTTACATCTGAAATAAATGCAATATATCAGTTCTCTAAAAATCTACAATGTTAATAGTCAGTGCGGACAACGTAACTTCATCATACAGCCCCAGTATTGCATCATAACTATACTTCATATACAGCACACAGTGAAATGGCACTCTTTTAAAATTACAGAACACTGATGCCCCAAAGGAGTCCAGTTTCCAAAGCAAATTAATTATAAAGTGTTGTCACGTTATACACGTATCTTACGAAATACCCAAGTACGGTATTATGTACATCAAAACTATAAACAAATATCTCGCAGTTCCTTGAAGCATCTTCCTTGGCAACAAATAACGCACTTCTGCAGATATGTTATCTCATTAAACTGCTTTGATTAACAGTTTGATATGGCCTTGCCGGAAGCGAAAACATCTGAAATCATGAGTATACTGGCTAACCTCCAAGATCTTTATTTGAATTCTTATGCGAACTCATCCTTCTCCCTGCCTTTTTACTCGACCCCGACATCTTCGTCCACTAATGTTATGTCCAGTCACACAATTTTCTTCAGGCATGATGTTACAGTCCTAAAAATGTAAAATAAAAAGATGAATTTAGGAAACAAACAACCTCCACTATCGCCAGCCATATTGAACTGCGAAGTCATCTGACATTTACAATGAGGTTGTAGAAGTAGAGTGTCTCGACATGTGAAGAGGAGTGAATTATAAGATTCTGGCGATTAAACAAATTGTATTACACATTTTACAGTCAAGTTACATAGTAAAATTGTTCACTTTATATGTAGCAGTATAGCTGAGCAGTTTATACAGTTATTAATGATAAAGTATTATGTGTATGTTATATATACAATATTTCAAACTGCGTCTACTTGAGAATATGGATCTCGTTGTCGAAGCAAGTCTGACGTCATTGTCCAAGATGGCCGCTGGGTTTCAGGATTGTAGTGATAGGACTGGGATGGTAGGAATTTGTAGGTGTGTCAGACTAGTGTTTCGACAATAATGTCGATAAAATGCTGTTGTATTAGTGTCAGTGTGTCCGTTCGTAGTTGTAAGAAGGCGTTAATTCCGTGTGTGAGATTTAGGTAATCATAGTAGTTGTATGTGCCGTGTAATAATAAAGTGATTCATTCCGCTAGGATTAAACTGTAGACACCGCTTGTCGTCTGTAATCGGAATACATATTTAGTTGTTCCTTGTCGGTGCTTCCTTACAATAAGCGAGGATGTGGAATATGATGTGTGATGTGATGCCTACCATATTAGAGGATAATATAAGCCAAAGAAGCTCGCAGTTCTCTGGGGAAGATGCGAACTTTGAGCAGCTCATGGTATCTATGTTGGACGAGCGCGACAAGCTCATGGACAGTTTGCGGGAGACACAGGAGCGGCTGGGTGAAACAGAAGCGAAACTTGCTGAGGTGGAGAAGGAGCGAGACTCCCTTCAGCGCCAGATCTCGGCCAACCTCCCCCAGGTGAGTTCTACGATAATGACTATGAACCGTTCACATCACATGAACTGCCCATGCAACCGATTTGGAGCTTTATTGATTCCCCCACGGCAAGATCCTGACCGCCATTTTTCAATGGCCCAGTGTTAGAGCATTCGTTATTATACTCCTTTTTTGACAATCCAAATATTCAATGTTTCAACTTAAGACCGCTGTTGACAATCCCATTATGCAGCCAAATCAGCCATATAATTAAATTTTTGGTAGCTATGAACAGTTAATTTTTACCATGTGGAAAGTTACTCACATTATTACAAAACTTCACATTTGTTGTAAACGTGAATAATTACATACGAGGACCTTTGATCCATTTTTTTGAATTGCAAGAAACACATGATGTGTATGCAGGTTTATCAGTTTTAATATTTTTGATCTGGAATAACAGTGAAAGTTCATATGAGATTAAATGATTGGAATAACAATGTTCATGCTTGACAGGTCTTATAGTATGTTTTTGGATGGCATATGTGATTCATAATGGCATTTTCTGAACTGCATTAACAGAATTTTTGCTAGTTTCATCAGTCAAATCAAGGTGTTTTTTCAGCTATTTTATATGTATATTCCCACATAAATGTATCCTTGAATATTTCTTGATGGAAAGATAATGACAGTAATCTCATCTTATTAAATAAAGGATTGTATCCTGTATGGCCGATCTAGAGGAGCACTGTCATTCTGGCCACAATTTGATGCTTGTAAAAGTTAGGGAGAATTTTAGACATGTCTTAAAGCCGAAGTTAATGAGTTTGAAACAGAACAAGAGTCTGACATTTGCATAGCAGCATATATGAGTTTCAAAAGGTCTGTTAGTTTATAATTTCCTTGATAAAAGATGGGAATGATAATTTGTTTTCAGTTTCCCAGAATTTGAGTAGGAGAAAAAACTGCATTAGTCAGAAGGAAGAATTACATTCATGTCAAAGTTATGAGCAGATTCAATTTCGGGAGCGTTTAATACCATTCAGTTCATTGCATTTTATCATCCCATTTTCTAAACAAAAATCTGAAGATTTAAATATGAAAAAACTGGTTTTATATTTTGTTTTGTATGGGTATGGCACTTATATAGATTAAGGTCGTTTGAGAATAAATTTCTGAGAAACGTATCTGTTGGTAGATGGAGAAAATTATATATCAAGAAGCTTCATAATCTGTACTTTTCACCAAATATTGTTAGGATCATCAGGAGGTTGAATTGGTGGAGTGTTTCAAATGTGTTACTTAAAATCCAAATTTCATTTAATATATCTAATATAATTATTAAAGGAAAAGTGCAGGATGTTTGTGTTTGGAATGAGTTATAGAACCTGATAGATATATTTGTTTCACCATCAACACAGCGAGTCATTGCTCTTCTCCATTGATTTTTTATTTTTTCATATGTAAGCACATGGCTGTTTTTAATAAATGTAGCTAAAGAGTTCTATGGTTCATATATCATCACATTACAAGTAATATGACGATTAATGCTCTGAAATAGTAACACTGATTTTGATACACATTATTAGAAATTGTTCTTAGAGCATTAAATATATGTAAATCAACCCCATTTTGCTTGTGACTCACGTTATGGTTTTTGAGGAACTTGTAAGTTTCTCTATAAAATTCCTGGAATGGTATTTTTAAACAGTAACTTAAGTAATCTGCACCAGTAGATAATTTATCGCACCGTTACACAAAACTTACTGCACATTTACAATGCACAATATATTAGTACTGAAATCAAATTGTTATTTCAAACATCTATGTGTTTGCAAGATTTGAGGCTCTCATAGTGGATGTGATGTGATGTAATTTGGTAGATAGGTTCCAGCATTTTGGAGGGCACATGCCATCTCTATCATCAGCAGGTTCTTGTGAAATGCTGCTTTTTCTTCATCCCAGAAGACAAGAATCTTTATCTGTTCGTTAGATTCAGTATGTGTATTATTATTCTTTGTACTCTGACTCATTTTTACACCGACACTGATTATGAAAGGTATATTTGTTCTTGGTAGAACTTAGTAAGATCCATTGTGGTGACTCTGTTTTTTATATGTTGTTACGATGTTCCTTATGAGTGAAAAGAAACTGCAGTTCTGGTTGTACATACATACCCTGAATTACGCCCATGTTATTGCATAACTTTCCAGGAGAATCTGTGAGAGGAAAAGGACCAGGATTAGGATGTATGATGAAGCCAAGTAATGTGGCGTGGTTAGGACATGTATAACACACAGATGAGATGAGAAATGATAAGAATATTAGCTGGAAAACATGAAGTTACCCCCCCGAGAGCTAGGTGTAGACAGGAGAATGATTTTAAAGTGAATCTTGAAGATATCTATTGTGGAAGTATGCTGGATATGTGTGACGTAGGATAGGGTTTGGTGATGGTCTCTTGGGAACATGATAATAAACCTAGGGTTCAAAAAATATGTGCAATTTCTTGACCAACTGAACCATTTCATTTTCTCAAGCAGGTATCTGCTGCAGTGAAGAATTGGGTTATGTATGAGAGTGAGCCATTATTAATATTCAAATAAGTATTTTCATAATCAGATACCTGCTTTGCATATAGGAACCACATGTTGCATTCCCATTCAATGATTCCAGATAGCTCTTTCAAGCTTGCTTTGAACATGCTTCATGTAGAATGTGGGAAACATTTTAGAGACATGCAGTAACATGTGTGCCATGAAATCTAGAATTTTGGAAGCAACATGTATGATAGTTATGGCATATGTTTAAGTTATCACCCTTAGTTTCGATTAGTTACAGTCTCGTGTGCAACACTATGTCCTATAAAATTAATTAACTTTAAAAGTTTAAAAGTTTAAAAATCAATCACTACAGGTTTCCAGTAAAATATGATAGCGAGTCCCAAGGGACTCGGACCCGAAAAAGACTACACTGGCAAGACCCAGTAACATGTAAAAAAGACAGACCCATCCTCTCATCAGAGAGGGCGCCCCACAAAAACAAAACCGTAACGTTTAACAATAATAAATATATGGTCATGAGTCCCAGACGGGGCTTGGCACCAAGACTTACTGACTGACTGACTGACTGACCGTCAGTTGCAATGTGACTTGGACTACATGTTTCGGTCAATGTGGTCATCATCAGGTGTTAAAATCTTTGGTGATGCTTGCTGAAATTTGAGATTATATGTAGGAAAGAGGAAGGAAAGTGAAGACAGCAAGCTGATTGCTCTGATTGCCACCTGCTTCACACTGTTTTCTTGCTTGGCTCATTCTTTGACCCTGAAAATGGAAGCGGCATGTACTTCTGAAACATTGGTCTACTTTCAGTGGACTAAACAACATTATATTCCAGAAGGCATAACTCTTGATAGTTATGTAGATGCTCAAGGAAATCTCTGCTTTGGTGGGGTCTGAACATACATTATCATCTTCACTATGAACTACCACTGGACCACATTTTGAGCCAGTAGCATTCAGTCCACATCTTCACGTTTTAGTTTGGCAAGCCATCAAAATAGTGTCTTTCTAGTGAATCCTATATCTACCAGCCGGTCACCATTGGTTTCAAACAGTATTTGATATGCATTTCTCATTTCCTCAATGCCTGCTACGTGACCTCCACCTTTTGGGCAGCATAATGTCATACTTGTTGACAGTTTTGCAAGGAGTTGACCAGTGTTCTGTGTAAGCATAGCACCTTTGTGCTGGAGACTCTGGGTCTCAATTTCTTGGATGTAATGTTATAGAAGATGTATATTATGCTCCAACTTCGGGACTCAAATATACAGTTGGATATGTAGCATGTTATTAGGTACCCATGTTACTTTAAAATTTACAGGCAGGTTGTCTGTCATGCTAGTGCATGCATAGCAAAATCTGAATTATGTCTGCATGGTTGTATTGAAGGAGAGCTGAGTGTTCTGAAACCAGTTGCCAACATGTATGCTAATCTTTCTGCAAGCCTCTATGATGCACAGTCGGAAAATTCATCACTGATATATAGCTTTATCATATTTTTATTGATTAGTCTTAATTTTAACCCGTGTATGCTGACTCTGTTGTAATTTATCGTGATGTAGACTGCACTGTGTCCAGCATATCTTTGTCTGTAACTCTGCATATTTTGTATTCTCTTTATGACTGTCAACTGGCCAGTGACAGGTTATACATGTTCTGCCATCTTTTGTCCAGTTGTACTGGTCATTGGTGGCAAGGGTGGTGTTTATTAATGAGAGATTAATTTTTATCTGTGCCATTGTAGCAAATGGTACTCTTGAAAGATATATCAAAACTTTCTTGTGGGGATTTTCTGTAGGCTGTATTAAAATTTGGATGCATTTGCGTGCAAACGTGAAGTAAGTTAACGTTTTTTGTTTTCATCCATTTTTAACACATTGAACTGTTAGTTTTATACTCTGACAAGCTGTATGGTGAATAGTTGCAATTTGATTCCTGACATGCTTGCAGAGTAGCATAGCCTTCTTCTGACCATATAGGGCACAGGTTGCCTGTCGACATCTGCAGAAAAGCTTCAATGTCACCCTTGACATGCATATGAGGAATAATTTATAAAAATTTAATATTTTTCAGCACGATTAAAATGCATTCTTCACCATTCTCTCTAACCTGCCCATGGCAAATGGATGAGCATATGTCTGGAGTTGTTCCCAAGTCATCACATCATCAGTCATCATTGCTGCGACGAATTTGTATGGTGACTCAAGAGACTTTTCAGCTTTCATGGGTTGTAAAATTCTTAAATTTCAGCCACCTGTCAAAATTCTCTCTCTGGTCACCAGCTTACTGTGAATTGAAAAATATGTGTACATAAATATAAAACATTAATGATGTTTCTAAACTCATCTATGCATATGTAACTTTAGGTTCTAGCCATGGCGAAACGCAGAAACCGAAATTGTGCATCAGATGCAGGCCGTGAAAGCCTTGGAATGAGAACTTCCCATACAAATTAGTGTTCATTCCCCATTTATTTCC